AAGAGATATAATTTTTTTTTTTTTTTACCTATACTCAGGCAGTGTGAAAAAAAAACAGATAATATAATTTGTAAATAAAAAAAATATTGGAAAACTAATATCAGGAGGAAAAAAATTCAATGAAAAAAGAAAAGGCTAAAAACATCCATGCTACTTGAAAATAATCAATCAGTACCACAATGTCAAGTCCAAAGTAAAAATACTGACAGTTGAAATGTAAAAGTGCTCAATACTAAGTAGAGCAAAAACTAGAAAACTTAATGAGCCAGAACTTATCTACCAAGGTTTCAACTGATGGGTCATCAGGATAACACTGGCTAAAGAGGGTTGGTCCAAATGAAATTTTATTGAATAAAAACAAAACCAAGGAGGGTTGATCCAAGTGACATTTTATTGATAAAAAATAAATAATAAAAAATAATAAAATATATATATTAATTATTTCACCCCAAACAGCTTTGATATTCTTAAGTAAATTGATGAAACTATATCAATATCCACCAAATTTTTTAAAAATTTCAGATCAATAACATTTTATTAAATATAGATTATTTTTCTGAGTAAATGATTTTGCATTATGTTTGCTGCAGACTGGCTATCAAAGACGTTAGTTTTATTACTGAGTGTCCACAACAATACCTGTAAAAGAGATATCTGTCATTTTCTATGTTCTATCAATAGGAAGGCACCCTTTACTCAAAATTTATCTTTAAATTTTACATACCAAAAATAATCATTTCAGTTTCCTTTGAACATTGTCATTTGAAATATTACAAGTCAAAATCAATGGAATGTTTTTGCTCAGTGGTTTGACACTTAAGATGCATAATTGGCTCCATGAAGTTATGTCTAAAGTGTTGCATTATTCTTGCGGTCTCTGGCCTTTACAAGTTCAGCAAGAGCATTTTAGCACATAGAATAAGTCAGAACTTCTTGAGAATACAAGGGGGTGTGGTCAGGGGGGAAACTTGCCTAAACTTTTAAGTGCTGGACTTGTATAGATATTTTTCTCTTTTTTTTTTTTTTTTTTCTCTCTCTCTCTCTCTCTTTTTTACTCACCTTAGATTTTCTTTTCACCTTTTTCCTTTTGATTGCCCCACCTCCTCTTTCTGCCTCTTGATTCCACCTCTCTGCTTTTTATATTATTCTATTGCCTTCCCATTTCTTTATTTATGTTTTTTCTTAGACATTCTTCTGTAATTGTGTTCAATTGTAGTTTCACACTCCATTTTGTTTTTTGTTTTTTAATTTCTTTTGTTTCTGATTTTTATTTTTACTTTTATTATTATAATTATTACTATTGGCATCAAATTTTTTCAAGCATCATTCCCTCATTGAAAAAATATTTTACAAATTAATTACAATCATTTTTCTTTTAGTTGTCAAAATACTATTAAACACTTTTCTTGTCTATTAACTTTTCTTTAATTAGTAGGTACATTGAATGAAAAATAATTCTTTTTTTTTTTTTTTTTTTTTTTTTAAATGTGTACCCAGTGATATCTCATTTTCTTAAACATTTCTATTTCTCCTCCTCCTTTTTTATTTACTTTCTTTCTTTCTCCCTCCTATTCACTTTTTAGTCGCCTTATGCTTGTTAAAATTTCTTTTCTGTTTACTAATCATTTGTGTTATTTCATCTTGGTGCCCTCAGAAAAGATGCTAGATGGAAAAACTAACGAATCTCTGCCTAAAATCATGCACCTGTCTGCCCATGCCGGACTATCAGAAAGGAACTGGGCTGAGTGATAAGATTTCTGTTATAGCTTGGAATAATTTCAGAAAAAATTATACCCAATATTTTTGTAATCCCCACAAAAAATTTATAAACTGAATTCTCCTTTTCAGTTAATTTTAGTCACTTTCCTCATTTGTTTCTGTTCTATATTATCTGTGTGTGTAATAATATACAATTATTATAATGGTTTTCAAAATTAATTAGCCGACATATATAAATGGGGGATTGGGTGGCTTAGCAGTTTTTCTTCTATGTTTTCCCTTCTGTGATTATGGCTCTCCATAATTTCTTTTCCCTTTATAGTTCTTAGTGAATTTTTTTTTTTTTTTTTGCTATCTCTCTTCATCCATTCTGTCAAATATTTATACAACCTTGTTACTTGCGGCATTCTTCTGTCCCCCTTTCCCTCAATATGTCTCATCAGTATGAAATTTTCTAAACCCTCTTTCCTCATGATGTGCCCTCAAAATTTCAACTATGTGTAAGTGTCCTTTTTATTTCCATTTTTCCCTTAAATTTGATCATTGCTCATCTGTTTAGTCCATGCTATTCTCAGCATCCTGTCTTGTCCAGCATTCACTGCCATATAGGCGGACTGATATTACATAACAGTTCAGTACTCTTTTCATTGTTTCTAATGAAATTTTTCTGTTTCTTAATACTTTGCTTACCTTTTGGAAGGCATCTTTTGATATCTCAATACATCTCTGGTGTCACATTTTCTAACCTCTGTTAAAACATTTCCAAGATATTTAAATTTTAGTACTTGCTTTATTTGATATCTCCAATTCATAGTTTGTTCTTTATCATGCCCAGACACTATTGTCTCAACTGTCGATTAGTTTTCCTATGGCCATTGTTTATGATGGACATTACTCCAAGGAAGCATACGAGAATTGTAACACTGCACAAACACACTAGTGAACCTTACCAGTGAGCAAATCAAAGTACTGTAGATTGGCCCGGAAACCTTCCTGGTTTAAATCCAATCAAGGATCTTTGGTCAATCCACAAGGAACAACTTAGTGGAATGAACATATAAAGTACTAACATGTGTACTGGGTCATGTTTCATTGGAAAAATAGAGAAAAAGTAAGTAATAATGGAATTATTCATTTTATTTCAATTAATTTGCACAAGGGTGCACATTCTTTTGCATTTGTATTGCTCTTTCCAATATCATTCTGGACATAAATATTACATTCCTTGTTCCACTGTCTTTAACAAAACTGCACTGTTTGTGTCCTATCTCCTGTCTAATTCTGTTACACTCTTTACTGTGCCAAATTTGGATCATAAGTTTTGTTATGTTTTGTTAGGCTGATTGTCCAATCAAACTTGCATTCATTTGTATCTGGCTTCTTAGGCAGCACTATGAAAATGGATCTACTTAGGTCTTCTGGTATATCACTACTATTATGTTTCATTTATTATGTCTGTGATTTTGTCTATGCTGAAATCATCTAAAACTGCCAAACATCTCTGTTACAATACCGTGTGGTCCTGCTGTTTTGTTTCTTTTCTATTTGCTCAGTGCTGTTTTCACCTCAAATTTTAATACTTCTGGTCTTTTTATATTTATTTTTCTATTGCTGGTTTTCCTTTTTCATCGTTTGTCCAGTTCTCTTATTCTTTATGCATATCTATTTTATCTGTGATGCTCATTCTTTCTATTTCTGCACATTTTCATTGCATCGTTTCTCTTTTGTTTGGTTGCATTTGTTCCTAAATACTTTGTGCATTGTCCTATATTTTTTGCCATACTTTGATATTGTTTGCTGTATCAATTTCATCTCACATACATTGCTTTATTCCCCCCCTTTTCTAGTTTTCTTATGGATAGTCTCATTTGCTAGTGTTACTAAAGCTTCTCTTAATGTGTCCTGTTTCAAGATTCCATTCTCCTTGTATCTGCTTTTAACTGACTAGCATAAATTAAAACTTTTCAATTTCTTTTTCTGTACTTTGTGTTGTTAGTACATATACTACTATGATGGATATATCAAAAGGCTTCCACTTCAGTTTAACTACAACAATACTATCAGGTAGTCGATAGTCTCCCAGAACACACCTTTTGATATCTTGGTCTAATATGAGTACTACTTGCCTCATTTTCCTCTCCACCTGCATATATGTTTATCACTGACAAAATCTCCATTGTTTGCCAACCCAGTTTTGCATATGCTTGGAATATTAACCTTTAACCTGTTCATTTCCTGCTTTATGTTTACTAACTGGTCGCATTAGTGTTCTGACATTCCATGTCCCAAAAACTACTTTTATTTGATGCAGACAGTTGCTGGGTGACTCGGGTGACACCTGTTGCACATGTCCCTCCTTACTGGGTGAGGAATTAATCCCAGTAGACTTAACCCCCTTCATGCTACTATCTCTGATAATAATATTATCAAGAGTTATGGATGTTCTTGTGATTGATAATGGACTAATTCCTGTTGCCTTCTCCACTGCGATTTCATTGAGACACCACATCTAGTTACCTGATTGTTCAACTCTTTGATAGGTTTTATTTTTCAATGTGCTTAATTGATAGTAAATATATGAAAAAAAGAACTTCATAGCCTGATGATGATTGAATTCAAGCATGAAACAGACTATCACTATTCCGTATTGAACTCTACACTGCAGAATGAGAGTGGGGATCCTTAGCAAAGGGAGAAAAACTGCTAAGGCTCACAAGGGCTAGGAAGTTTGAGAGCCATGGTCACTGATGTCCTAAAGGAGGATGGCATATAGAAGATCTGTTTGTAAAATTCATACCTATCTATGATCACTCTTTACATTTGCCGTTTCTCTTCCCCAGTTACATTATCTCATTTGGATTTTTCTTTTAGCTGTTTATTATTTATTTTCTTGTAATTTAGTCTCAATGCATATCGGGCTTACAGCCATATCATGTTGAAACATTGGTTCTCATATGATCACCAAAGTTGAGCAACGTCAAACATGGACAGTACCTAGATGGGTGACCACTTGAGAATACCAGGCTCTGCATAATCTTTTTTTCTAGTGCAACTGTTTGTCTCAAAAGTTTTTTTTCTTTAAAAAACCATAAAGAAAGAATAATTATTTGATTTAAAAAAAAAAAAAAATAAATAAATAAATCTGATTGCAAAATGTCCAATGATTCTTATTGATTCCTGCTCCTTTTCAGTGATCAATTTTTTCCCCCTCCAGTACTTGACATTTTTGCTTGTCTGCAGAATGTTAACTAGAATTATTATTTTATTTTTTATTGATTTGGATGAGGTCTCCGCCCTCTCTTTATTATTGTCTTCAATATACATCTTTCTCTTTTATTTTCAATTATTTTCTCTTTGAACCTTCTTTCTTGCCTATTTTTTCTCTCTTTCTCTTTCACTCTTGTACTCTTTCTCTTTCACTCTCGTTCTCTTTCACTCTCGTTCTCTTTCACTTTCACCCTCTTTCACTCTCTTTCACTTTCACCCTCTTTCACTCTCTTTCACTTTCACCCTCTTTCACTCTCTTTCCACTTTCACCCCTCTTTCCTCTCTTTCACTTTCACCCTCTTTCACTCTCTTTCACTTTCACCCTCTTTCACTCTCTTTCACTTTCACCCTCTTTCACTCTCTTTCACTTTCACCCTCTTTCACTCTCTTTCACTTTCACCCTCTTTCACTCTCTTTCACTTTCACCCTCTTTCACTCTCTTTCACTTTCACCCTCTTTCACTCTCTTTCACTTTCACTCTCTTTCACTTTCACCCTCTTTCACTTTCACCCTCTTTCACTCTCACCCTCTTTCACCCTCACCCTCTTTCACCCTCTTTCACTTTCACTCTCTTTCTCTGTTTTTACCTTATCTTTTTTGTTTGTCGGTCCGTTTTCTCCTTTATTTTCTTTCTCTATTTCCTTCTTTTTATCTGACTTTTTTGTTTCACTTTCTCTTCCTTTTCTATTAATATCTTTCCTTAGATGTTTGGTCCCGATGCTTTATCAATGTAGGTCAGCTTCTAATGGTGGAGCAATTTCTACATAAGCATCCAATTGGAAATTTTGTCAAGCTTTTGTCATAGCCTTTCAGTTATTTCATTTCTGCAAATTAAAAATAATCTTCTGTCATTGTGAATAAAGGACATTCTTTTTGACACTCCTATTTCTTTGATTTTTCTCATGGTGTTATAATCAAGGAAAGCTAGATTAGTAATAGAAAAATAATTATCTCCTTCCTTTTGTCATTTATTGTAATATTATAGAGTTAATACAGAATGCAAATAAAATAATGCTAAAAAGCTTATGTATTTGTTTTCTATGAGTCTACCTTACAGAATTCTATGCTCATGACCAATGCTTGTTCATTGTACAAATTCTGATAATCGACGCTTTTTATGTAAAAAAATAATAAATTAGATTTATAAATATTTGAAACTGAAGCCACACCTTGCATTTATTACTAGTCATTTTTAATTGTTTAATTCTTTCTGCTGATAAAATTATTGAAAATAAAAATAATAATTCTCAAATTATATGAATAATTAACAATATGTGCATCTGTTAAAATAGAATGAAATTTCATTAAACATTTTAATTTTTGTGTAATTAAATCAGGCTTTCATTGTAATGTGAAAAATGATAAATATTTAAAATTGGAATAAATTCAACAACTTTTTTTCTCTGTTATTGACTTGGAGCATTTGTTGTCTTTTTACCTTTATTCTGTGACTAGCAAGGATACCAGGTTTTGCACCAGCCTAATCCTTTCCCTCCTTGCTCTTCTGTGTTATGCAGTAATTTCTTTACACCTTAAAGTGTTAAAAAATTCCCATAATTAAAGCACTTTGATAGGTTCAAATGTTTTTGTAGCAGTTATTTTATATTGGGTATGTTGTAATATTTGTTAGATTTTCAAAGTAGACTATTGAAATGCCGATGTTGCTTACTTACCTTTACACCCAAACTGTGATCTTGGGACTAAGGTGGTTACCACTTTCAGATCAAGAAAATGTTTTATTTGAATAAGTAATTTTATTATAAAACTATAAACAAAGCAGTTATTTAAAAAGTTTACCAGAGAATAAATTGGAGATAAATAACAATAGTTATTTTAAAAAAATGAATATACAAATTATTTCAATTGAGCATGATGTAAGACACATTCTGGTAGGTATAAGAAATAAAACCATATTTATTTGTTACAGTTTTATATAATATTTGCATGCACACATACATTTAATCAATTTTACATATTGGATTCATTTTCAGATTTTCAAGTAGACATGGATGCACATTGAGTTTTATATATTAGTTTTTATTTTATTCTATTTTGGTATTTTCTTTCCTGATATTTCAACATACCTTCTTTTCTTTTTTTTTTTTTTTTTGTTGTCTATCAACTTATTTCATTCCAAGTGAGAAATTTAAAATGACAATACTGAACACATTTTTTTTTTTTTTTTTTTTGTATCATGTCTGACTTATTTGCTGTAAAGCTTAAGAAAAAGAAATGGATTAGCATCATCTCAGTATGGTAATTCCCTAATTTTTCCAGGGGCAATATATCCAGCTGTCTCCAGTTTTTGTCAGGGTGGAGGAATGAAAGGTTAGTAAGTAGTTACTTGACTTGCACAGATATAAATAAATAAAGTGCAAATTCTGTCTGTAATTCTTCTAATTCAGGCTATACTTGCTCTATATGGACATATTATACCTTTTTGGAATCAGGATGATCCCAGGATTGAAAATCTGCACTTCATCTGGTGCTTTTAATATTCAGCATTGGGATTTATGTCTGGATGTGAAGGGAACAGTTAAAAATTCAAATTTTAAAATAACTGAAAACAATTAGTGATTTTAGAAGTTTTTCATTTATATTTAGTTTAAAGTAACACAAAAATTTTGAATTTAAAATTTTTTTTTGATTTCAGTTTAAAATATACCACAAACATTGTGAATTGCAAAAATCAGTTATATTTCTTAAAAATGCCAAGGAACCAAAGTGGGAGGTTTTGTGATGTGAAGTTTTGAAGTTGTGCAGAGTTTGTGATTTGAATAATTCAACACAGTTGAAGTTTCACATTTGAAGAACTCAGTTTTCATCCTGAATTAGAATTTCGGCTCAAATTGGACTTATAGCCCAAATCAGAGTTAAAGTGAGGTTTTGAAGTTCCATGTAGTGAATTGAGGAATTCAAAGTTATTTCTTCAAAATTATCATTGTTGTTTTCTAAGCTGTACCAGAGGTCCCTTAAAGTTTGCATGGAGTGTGGCTTTTAATCGAGTAGATTAATAAATCTGATACATCTGAACAGCCATTTTAATAGATATCAATATCCATTTGTATTTGACATGCAGACTCTTCAAAGTGTTGATTCTTTTACCCAAATATCTAAATTGCCAACTGTATACAATTGCTTTCTCAGATAAATGATTAAAAATGGCAATGAGCAAATGACCACTGTAGGCCATATGACCATATTTTTGTCAAACCTTGGGGTGCTACAGAATCACAAAAAACTGTACCAAATAACAGGAACAACATCACTTGAGGACAACAACAGCAACAATTGAAATGGATGGCACATCAAATAATGCCATCATCAAAATATCGACATTCCACACTTCAAACAAAAGATTAGGAAGGAACACCCCCACTCCCATCAATATTAGAAAGAAAAATAAGTTACTAGACTTGAGAAACTTATTTTCCTGAGAAATCTTTTTCAGAGAAACATTTTATAAATTGAAAAAAAAAATCACACCGGCTGTTTGGTCAATGAATGCGAAATATTTCCATATAAAGAAATGTTTCATATTAGCATTAGAGACAAGGAAAACAGATACTACACTTTGATCCCAGCTTGATGGCCAGAGAGTGAAAATAAGTGAAACTCAAGTAGTACTGGCTGCTTGATCAATGAATGCTAAATATTTCTATGTAAGAAAATGCCTAATATTACCATTACTTGAAATTTTTCTGAAGAAAGAGAATTAGCTTGTAAAGAATTAGGTTGATGTATTATATAGGGAACAGGTGAAATAGTTGCTAGTGAAGGTGAGAAAATCTGAATTAAAGGAAATCATTAATCAAAGAATGTTTTCACCTTCCTCCATTAAAAAATTCAGTCTTGCTCTTATGATCAGTACTAATTAACTCTAATTAGCATAATTGTTGTTGTTCACTTTCATGTCACTGAGTGCAAGATATGAAGAATTATAGAATAACTGTGAATCAGAATTGCTACTGCAAGCAGAAGAATTATTTTTTTTCTGTTTTTCCCAAGTCTTGTAGATTTTTTTTGTTGGATCATATTGTTTTATGAAAAATTCTCATTTTGTATTCTGTTTTACTTATTGGTACATTTTCAAAATATTTTTATAAGTAAAAAAAAAAAAAAAAAAGAAAGAAAAAAGATTATCCCCATCAGCACCACAAGCCATCATCAAATAAATGATTAAGTAACTATTGTGGCTACAGCCCCTTTTCCATAAGCAAAATGTTGCAAGCCCCTTGCTAATCTGTCACTATTTCCATGGAAAATTATTGTACAAGCTATATTCCTTAGTTTTAATGCCTCAGACATTTAGAGCTAAGATCCGCTATGCCATGTACACATGTGAAACAATTCCATTTCTTTTTGTATTCCATTGGTAAGAAGAAAGTTCATTTGGAAAGCTTCGTTTCAAGAGGATGTACAGGTAGTTTAATGTATAGTGGCTCAGAATGAGAAATTGTAGAGCAGAGTTCAAATTCCAATAGTTTTTTACATTCACTTCTGTGCAAATACCATTGGGAAAGTTATGAACCCATCTCTTTCCCTCTAGCTATAGGTTAAAGAGTAGGACATGTATCTGGAAAAATCATTATTATTCTTAAAATGCTGTTAATGCAATATTCATTTGCAAAAAAGAGTTATACTTGCAATCCAAAATGTTTCAGCTTTAAATAACCCCCCCAGGGGTCAGTAAGCAAAAAAAAAAAATAAAAACATCAACCAATTTCTAATTAGATATTAGAATAGCAGACTGATAGGCAAGTGATGTAAGGTTTTTGTATAACATTTTAATTTGATGAAATTTCTTAGAATATTTGATATAGGGGATGCACCAAAAGTGATGCCTCATAATTAATTCCATAGAAACTGCAACATATACAGAGAGTACAATAAAAAAATTGTTTTGCCAATCTAAAATGTTTCAGCTTAAATGATCCACAAAGGGTTGATAAGCTGTAAAAAAAGACAAAGAACCAAATTGATCAGTCTTCCCAACTTTGTACAACAGACTCCTGAGAGGAATCTTTCCCAATCACTAACCTCTTGAAGTCTAGGGTTATTTATTATCTATCCTACATATCCTTATAATTTGTACTTCTTGCTTCCTCCACTTTATGTCCATGAAACAACTTTGAGTGGCTCTTGGGCCTTGTATTGGGTAAAAAGAATAGTAGAAAAAAAGACTTGCAAAATAGTTGGTTTAGTTACATTACAGATCATTTATAAAATGGTTTGTTTCTGTATTTTCTGATCTTATTTATCTCGCAGAACCTAAAAAATTTAAAAAAAATGTATTTTCAGCCCAACATAGATTCGCACACATTGTTATTAATGTTTCAGAGACTGGAATTTGTGATAGTAACCTGTTTCTCTTCTGACCAGTTCTACATGAACGGTTGAAATTCCTTGAGGTAGAAGAATTTTTTCCCCCAATTTAATTTTAAACCAAATTGTACGTCAGTGTAAATTCTATTATGCTGTCTGAAGATAGTTTCATATATTAGTGATCATTGATAAAATGATCTCGGTCAGAAGTCTCATATATTCTAGTCAGGCCATGAAATAGCATTGTCAGGGAGTATGGCATTTTTAAACATTAGTATTAAATATTTTTGCCATAATTTTTTAAGAATATAGTATTTTGTTTTTGCAATAC